AAGTTGCATTTGGAAATTCCCCTAATTAGTATAAGCTGGTCCATGTACAAAAAACGGGATAAGTAAATAGGGTTCTTTCCTTTAAACRTTGCATCAAAAATTGTTAAATTATTGTTGTTTATATGACCTTTTTAAATCTCACGAAATTTGTATATTTTGAATGAGCTACACGCTTTTACAGCGTGAAATCGGGATAGCTATTTTTGAAAATTGAGAAAGACAGAATATCACTCCTGGATCGATATTTCTAGTGTTTTGATGTCGTTGCGATAAGCCACCAGAAAAGAATATCGAGGTGCGTGAATAAACAAACTAGATAAGGTATTCTACGCCATAAATTACTTTCATATATAATTATATKACTGTCAGAATATTACTTGTTTTTTTAGATACGAATTTTATCTTATCGTGTTGAACTCTTTCGCTMTTCACGYATTCGCAAATCCAAGTAATTTCTCAATTTTCCAAAATAGCTAGCCCGACTTCACGCTCCAAGAGCGTCTAGTTGATTTTCAAATTCCATGCTAAATTTCTTAATGTACGTTGCATCGCACAGGACTATTAAAGCTTCCTCGCTTAAATGAGTCTACCATAGATAAAGTGAACAGGAAAACATGAGATAGGAAATAGGCCATTCCATGGATAGATTTCGGCCGTTAGAAGTCGAGTAGTTAGAGTGAAAATAAAGTAATACCKCCACTGAAAAGAACGGATTCAAATTAATAAATACACCGAGTTTGAGAAGAATCCGTAAGAAGATTCAGCACTCAAAAAACACCAAAATTATTCACAAACTAATGTATGACGCCGTTCATTGTAACCACTCAAACTCACCATGCATTTATTTGTAAAACTTTGTGAGCTAGAGAAGGTTTTACTTCTTGAATTTTAAACGGAAAAGTATTCACTTGGTAAATTTATCAATTTCTAAAGGAAATGTTTTTTTTTTGACCGAAAAACAAAGCAGGACTACATTCGCACGCCGACCTAGAACCATGACTCATACACCCACCTTAACATCAGGTATAATGAACCAGTAATCAAATGAAAACGTCTCGCCAAACGAGCATCAAGTAGAATTTGCCTGGACGTGAAGCGCAACTGACTGACGCTGACAAGGAGTGATTAATATTACTGCCATGTGCWTATATGTAATTTGTTATGGTAAGTAGCAATTAGACGCTCTAAGAGCGCTTACACGGACTTCCGCATTAATTATTCATTACGAACAGCTCTTTAGCAGTGCAATTTTGGATTTAGTAATTTACCGACACAAATACTGAAAAAATAACAATTGAGCATTCATATCAAATTTATAAATTCATATTTTGTTGATTTTTAATTCTTCCTAGCCTCGGTGGGGTCCTTCTTAGGGTGATAATGACGAGAATTCTCACCAACTGAGTTTTGTGGTCTCTTTTAGGGTATACGACGACCCTAASCCGTCATGATAAGAACAACAACCACAACTGCTAATTAGATGATTGATCTCAATACGATCCGACGGCGCTTGATTTGTGCAAAAACACAAATAAAATCGGGAAACCAAAACAAAATGACCGGTTATTGATTGGTCCCCCTTAGTGGTGAAATTTCAGCAATACMATGGCCATCATCTCATAATACAGGTCCCTTTTAGGGCTCATTTTCAGAATTTCCGACGAGGACCTCGCTCTTTTTTATTTGGAGTCCCCCTGCGTCTAGGGGAGGGGGAAAACAGAAGAAATAAGAAATTTAAAGCCGGTCGCTTCACGCACATGCAAAATATACTCTTTCCCCGCGAGTCCTATAGGGTCGAAGGAAGGACAGGAACACTCAACCACTTATATACAACAATTTAAAAAAACGTTGTCGGGGCGAATAACGAACGACAATTACATGACCGAAAGGTACTATTGTTACGTTGTTAGTAGTAAGCAAAGGACTGCTCTAGCCTCGTCCAGTAGGAGGTATAAATTATTTCAATAGGAATCTTTTCATGCTTGAAAAAGTGAATTGAAATTGACTGGTCTACTGAATGAATTCTAGCATGCTGTATTGCAAAAAGTTCTTAGTTCAGCAATAGACATTTTTACGTAACATTTGACATGCAAAATTATACTTTCGGTTCACATGCGCGATAATAATGCACATTAGTACGCTCTAATTGCATTGTTTCCTTTTGTGTCTGTTTGACTATCACACTTCTAGTTTGGTTTTGTTTTACGTTTTTGACTTCACTCTAGTACTTTTTTGCGCTTTCAGGGTTTGCCTAGATAACACTCTAATGTTCTCTATAGCGATGCTCAGTGTTTATCAACAAACTCATTCTTATGTTAATGTGCCGACTATGGTCAGAATGGCTTTTCACAAGTCGCTTTATTCTAACATCCAATCGTCTTCTGGTTGGTAAATGAACAACAAAGTCTTACGTCACAGGGAGCATCGATATAGAACCATGTGAACTTGCATGCGATGTCAAAGCAGCCTCATCTGGAGGACAAAACAAAAGATTTTGCCTCTTGGCAACTTGAACCCATAGTTTTGCCCTCCAGTTGGAGTTACATATCAGCGGACAAACTACACAGGAAGCCCAATCCCATCTAATGAAAAAGCCATACATATTTGAATAGTTCAGTACCATCACCATTTTATTTCTCAATACTGTATGCATGTATACATTTGAAAAGAACGATCATATTACAGTAAAACGCCGTTAGATCGTCATTAGAAAATCTTTTCATGCTTGAAAAAATGAATTGAAATTGACTGGTGTATTGAATGAATTCTCAGTGGCAGATCGAGGATTTTTCAAAGGGGGGTTCCATTTTGTTTTCGCATTTTCCTAAAACGAACTTTTTTAATGTGCCTCTCGAACTGTAGCAAATGAAGCGTGAATGTATTGAATAAAAATTCATTATACGATGCGTTTTCATTTTATTTCATTTATCATTTATCTTATTTTTTATTTTTTATTTTTTTATGCTTGAGGGGGGTTCCTAGGAACCCATGGAACCCCCCTGGATCCGCCACTGATCCTAGCATGCTGTATTACAAAACGTTTTTAGTTCAGCAATAGACCATTTTACCAATACAGCTGCCATCTTGAATTCTTGAATTTCATTGTTTTTTAAAGTAATCGATTCAGTAAGAAACTATTGGGTGCCAAGGGATGTCTAAACAACAAATTCATAGAAAGTAGGGCTTTTAAAATGCTATGAAAAACATGACACAACTAAATGTTTTAAATCATCAATTGAAATACTGAAGCCTGGAAAATTTTTAGGGCATGAAATTATCATTACTATTCTGCACAACAAAGCATTGACATCCCATAACGTTCCTCAAAATTCAGCATGGAGCCCATATATAGCAAAAAGGTCTATTTGGAAACCTCTGGTGAGTTTAATACTCTAACTTCATTTTTTGAAATCATTATTAATTACCATGTAATATTTTTCATTACAGCAAAGATTCAATATACATCATCTACATAGCCAATCTATTCCATAAAATGTCTGCCTTTATTACGTCCAAACACCAATTCTCTTATTTCAGGCATCATCTGCAGAAAAAAAAGATCCTTTTAGTAATCCTATCAAAATATTATCAATGTATTGGTTTTGTGTGATTTACATAAACCCATGGAACAAAGCATATTTTACACCTTATGTTGTTCATTAGCAACAARGGTGTATTCCTTGAATAAAAAAGAGCCATTCTCATTATGACCAACAGTCTTGAGAGTGACTTCATTTTATTTTCAAAAGAAATTAGGCATGGAATTCATAAAATGTTTGCATGGGTTAATAAAATTTTCAAGGATTTTTAGTAGCATTTTGGTGAAATCAATTGTACAAAAGTACACATTCAATACTGTGTTTGATATTTATTTAYTAAACACAAGAACATTATTGTTGAAAATTTCTAATGAAAGTTTCATCGCTCTCCATAGACTCAATTTGTGTTATTGTATGTATAATAACAATGCTTCTTTGCTTTAATATCTCTTTGCTGTTAATGTTAATGTTGTGTTACAACAGAGTTGTACCACAATTGTACTTAGCATTTGTAATAACTGTTTACAGTACCGTATTTACTCGAATAGACGCTGCAGCGTTTATTTCATTTGTCTATATACGGTATGTGTTTGTAGCAAAACTCTTTCACAATTTCTCTACACCTTCATTTAAGATAACAGTGTCTCTGTTTAAAGCAAATGGTGATAATGATTAAAAAGTACATTCAACAAAATAACACTTTTTCATTGGTCGAAAAGTTAACTCTTGACTATTAATTCCAAATTGTACTCAAGGTCATGTGATTTCCAATACTAATTGTATTTTTTAATAATAAAAATCGTTTTATATTTTTTATAACTTTCAAAGTTAAAATACGCTATAAAAATATTTTTTAAACACGTCTGTCTAATGTATTTAAAAAAAATAAATAAAAATAAATAAATCGACTTTATTTTACGAGGGTAACACGTGTCAGTAAAGAACTGATGAACTTGTGGCCCTCACACTCACACTCACTACCTCTACATTAATTATTTTAGCACACAACACTCCTCACATGTTGATTTTTACTGAGGGAGGAAAACCGKAGGACCCGGAGAAAAACCCTYGTGGCAAGGGAGAGAACAACACATCAAACAAACTCAAACTCACATATGGTCCGTGCCCGGGAATCGAACCCGGACCACAGCGGTGAGAGGCCAGTAGCTTAATCTATGGAATGAAAACCAACATTAAAGGAAAAAACTAGAATGAACGCTCATTATGGCCATAATGTGTCTTTTATTTATTTAATAATATTATAAAATTTGGTTTCACTAAATGTACTATAAACAAAAAATGGCACAACCTCTTGTACAATTTCAAATTAATAGTCGCTCATAATGTTAACGTTACTAATGTAACATTACTCATGAATATTATGTGTAATTCCTAATTGTACTCAAGGTGCGATTTCCTATACCCTTAAAATGATTAAAATAATGTTTCATTCATCTCATACACAACAGTCATCCTCGTGATGCAAAGCATGGTTACCTTTTACARTGTGAAACAAAAAACAATGACTTTCTATAAATATTGTGGGAATGTTCATTGTTTGTTGACCAATCAGAAGGAAGAGAAATTGTTATCGATTCTAAGTGCTTTCAGGAGCAAGACTTTCTCTCCAATTCCATTTTTGCATATGTTTCTTTGCTATCAATTTTGAAATATTTAGTGTTGAGACTTGAAACTATGTCTTCTTACTTATTTTGATCCCCTCTTTCCATTTCTGAACATCATTTTGTCATTGCTGATTAAATTAAGGTATGTATGGTCACTTGACCCCCAGTTGCAAAGGGCCTATTGTTAACATTATCTAATGGAGTCAATTCAGTCATCAACAAACTAAGAATTCACTAAGGCATAAAAAACAATGACAAAGGAATTCAAAGACACCTTTCATTGCACTTGTTTATCAGATATTTTGTCTCTAGTTTATTCCTTGAGAAATTGTCATTTATTAATTACTAATTTTATTAGACACTCTACAGCCTGTAAAAGCTCGTAAACAATACAAATGCACTGTAGAAAGTTCATTTAGTTTATTCATTTRTCCACTTCATTGTGCTTTCTTGTGTGTCAGCCTAAGTGATTTCTCAAGTACAAATTCATGAGCAAATTCTGCATTRTCATGGTTTTGTGATTCTCAGTCAGATGAACAAAGAACCACAGACAAGTTTTCTTTGTCTAATAACCATGAAAAGACATCTTAAAGTAAATTCACTGACCTGTCTCATCATCATGTCCAGTCTGCTCTCAAGTGTGTTTACCACTTTAATCTTACCACCTGCTGCTAAAAGCTCAACTCCACCAGAACTAAAGTCACAAATAATAATCATTTTTAGTAATTGAATAATAATTATTTTACTTTTACTTTTATAATTTTACTTTTTCAATTTTTTTGTACACTAGTATTCTGCTTTTGTTCTTGCGTCTAGACTATGTTTTATGCATAAAAAAAGATATAATAAACTGCCAGTGGTTCTTTGGAAAATGATTGTTGTAAAAGTAAAAGCAAGAAATTTCCTGACCACTGCTGCTGAGATAGGGTACTCTCATTACACAATGTATTCGGCTGACAAATGTCTCTGGACCATCTTTTATCCTGACTGTTGAGTTGAGTATGTTGATTCAAATATAATTTTTAGTAAAAAACACAACTTTTTAAGTTTGTGTCTAATCACTAAAAAATATTGCATTATTTGTGCTACTCAGGCCATTTGATTCAAATATAGCATTCATTTCTGCCATCGCAAGAATAAAAGAGGGTCTAGTTCTGTACTAACAATGATGAAGTGTGATTTTGAGTGAGTAGTACAACTCAACTAATCACAAGAGAGCATTACCATTCTTGTGATAAGAAGTTCTGTTCATCAACTGTAACTTCAGTGGATTTCTTGGTGGAGTTTTTATAGTCCTCAATAGCATCTCCTAAAACAGACTAATCAAACAAGATATAATGAGATGGTGTTTCTTAATGCTTTAGTAGTTCTGAGTTCTATTGGATTGATAGGAAGTAATAAGGTAGATAAAGTAGATAATCAGATTTTTTTGTTTGAAGTAAAGGCGAATCTAAATCTCCCTGTTGCAAATTTTATAGAATTTAAAGCATTACATTAAGCAGGAGCACTTTGCATTAATTCAAAATTGTATGAATTGTGTGAAACTTTGTAAACTAAGTTATWTTTTAATGAATTCATGTATAATAGCTAGATTCAATGGAAATCACGCCCTGACCAATCCATTGCCATCATCTGAAAACACAGAGAGCCAGGGGACACTCCACTGTATGCTGTCACACACTCCACTATGGCAGTAGAGAAGTTTTCTATTCCTAGTCCTGTCTTCCAAGATATTGTTTTAAGGAAGTTGAGATCTCTATAGTGGACAGGGCTGATGGTCTTCCACAACAAAYAGAGATCAAGACAAGATTTATTTTATCAAAAGGCAGCTTTTTACATTAGAGAAGCATGGCAGCATGAACTGCAGTGGTTTATGGTAAAATACCCTTTAGGTCATTGGAGAACATATTGAAAGAATCCCAAGCATAGCAAGATATCCATCCTTTTTTGCCTAAGCATCAAGCAACTTTTTGACCTGAGTCAATCTTCATTGAATCTAAATTCGTGTTATTTTTGCTTTTATTCATACTGTGTATACAAATGTCATGTTAGAATCTATTATCTGATTTCATACTTAATAAAAAGACTTACCTTCACTGAGTCCAAGTCTTTCTGACGGCATCTTATGGTGACTTTAGATTCAAGTAATTGAAATAGTCCCTTTTACAATAAAAAATACATTAGCCCAACAGTCTATCTGTTCATGACAGACTTGAGAAAAATGATATTATATCTACTCTAATCTTTGTAATTGGTATCTTGTTATGTTTGGGCTACCTGTGTATTGCCCAGGTCCCTATCATTGTATAGATTTATTCAATATGGTGGATTAAAACATCATCTAGACATGCTATACTTGTTTTTGAGGCATTAGCAGCCATTAGGTCTTAATCCACATAGATCATCATCATTACCAAGACATTTTGTACATTATAGCTCACTTGTTACCTGTGAAATAAGACCCTTCAGAACCTGTTTGTATTTGCTGGGGTCTTGTGTTACTGTCCCTAATTTTTCACCACATTCTTCTTGAATCCCCTGAGAATCAAAAAGCAAAAACGTCAGTCTTCCACCTCCTGACATCTTTTCTTTCTTTTTAGAAATTTCCCACTTTAATTTCTCCACAAACTCACAAAAAAACTTGTGATTAAATTAAAACATTATAGCATTACTTGTAGAGAAGGTCAGTGHGTTATTCAGTGCAGACAATCTTTTGATACTTAGACACTGTTATACTCAAAATATTTGCTGTCCCATTCCCCATCTCGGCTTTAGTTCTGATGATGCAACCTTTTGAAACCTAACCACATTTTTTCAATTATTTTTTGTATGAATTAAAATTAAAATAAGAATGTAAACATAACTTTATCTTACATACATTTCGTAGTATTAATCATATATATTTTTTTCGTTGTATAAACCATTGTATTTAAGTTTAGAGTGAGGACAATATCAGTTGATAACAGTTACTCTAAATAAAGTTTATTGTATTCTTAAAGAGTATTCTCCTCGGAAAAAACCCACCCTTTTAAATTTTCCATGTCGTCATACACCCTTATGAATAACCTCATGTCTAACAACATGACCTGAGGTTTCATTATCTTTTTGAATAAGTGTCTGAGCGATTGAAGCAGTCATCTATGTCCCAAACAAATCACAATCATATTACTTTATTAAGTAAGACACAAAAATATACGAAAAAAAATAGACAGCCCTGTGTCCTATTATTGAAACTCCTGCATGGATTGACCACTGTGGATTAAACAAAAGGAATAGTTTTTTCTTACAGTGTGGTTTAACATACCTTGACTTGATCATCTTGAGCTTTAAGTAACTTTAGTCTTGACTGGTTCAATAGATTGGAACGTTGTCTGTAAAGATAATACAAAAACTGCAATCCTACCATCCAAATACATTTATAATACACAAAGTGGACTTGTAAGAAGTYTGAATATAATTGTAGAGGATATTACATAGGCGCATGGAGATACAGATTTTATTTTTAAGTGTTGAAATTTTTATCTCCAAGCGACTATGTAATATTCAGTTTATCATATA